TTACCTGTTTTGAACCCACAGAAACCCTTCTTGACTTATTTTCTGAAGTTCCTGCCATGATTTTATCAGTTTGACACTCCTTATCCGTCATAGTGTAAGATTCTTATAAGACTTAAGTTATTTTCTCTATTTCACAGAAAAATATTAAACTATATTGTAAGTTTAACAAAAACTACCAAGTTGTAATGTTTTCCAATAAATTTAAGTTGTTTTTATAAAACTAACATTAATTTAAGGTTAAATTCCAATAATTTTATCAATTATTCAATAAAAATAAGAATTACCAAGAACTAATTCTTGTAAACAAACACTTTATGCAATAAAAGTTATCTCATATCATTGTATACTAAGATTTGCAATGAAAGTTTAAGTGGAAATTTATTGACAAATTGAAATGTTAAATGCAATGTTTATGGAAACCTACAGTTAAATTAAACAATAACAGTTACTCAGGAATATGAATTAACCAGTATAATATCAGAATTAACCTGATACTATATCAAAACATTTGAACTTCAATGTACAAAACTTAAGTTTGACATGTAATAAAACTTGTTATGTATTGTTGTTGTAAAAAAAAGTTAATTTTGCATTATCAATTGCATAGAAAACTGATCAATAGACACTGTGCATAAGTGATTAACAACAGGATTAAACAATTAAACTATTTTCAGTAAACACTTAGTAATAAACACATGTACTTACTTGAACTTATATTAAGTTTACACAATTCTGTAAATGATAGGTTAACACAAGTAAATTATGCATGAAACAATATTTATTTCTTGCTGAAAGCTGAAATGCACATTAAATAACAAAACAACAATATTATGCAATGACTATTTGCAAATAATTTGTCAAATCTCAAAATATGGTCAAAGAAAGTTGTGTGAATGGTTATTAGCATCACATTTTCTTCTCAGAATCTATTTATTCTAAAATATATTATGTACTAATTACATAATAGCAAATTAGTTTATAATGAAAGTAAAATATGGCTATAAGCTTGCCAAAACAAAGCTTTAAAGCAAAAATGGAAAAAGTTACTCGATGAATGTTATGTGATAATAACATTCAGTTCAAAAGTGAAAAATTAATAAATTTATGTTAAGCAAAATGTGAAAGTTATGATGGATATAGCAAAATAACTATATTTCACTTACAAAGTTACAAAATATCCTAGTCAAAATCCTGTCCCTATGTGAGAGGCGACATTGTAAGGTAAAAAAATTAAAAAAACTGTGTAAACTATTTATATAGTTAGTTATTTCAAAAAAAAGAACGAAAAAGGCTGGAGAAGGCCGGTTGATGGTAGCCGATTTTAGCTTCTCAGCTTCCATTTAAAGTGAGAGTTGTAACGGGCGCCGGGAAGCTGGTGATATCTCCAGGTGTCCGGAATAACTTACGGGAACATCGGCCTTTAATCTCAAGTCCAGTTTTGACTAGGGTTGAATGATAAAGGTGTTTTCCTCTTCAATTATTTATTGTGAAAGTGTACATACCAGATTGGATTCCAGGCGTCAAAGTACATTAAGTAGTGGATTTACTTAGACTATTATGGCTGGTCCATGGTCAAAGATATCAAAATGATATTTATAAAGATATCATTAAAATTAAGGATTATAAAGAGTATAAAGATCACTTAAAGAGCTGCAATCGCAGCTCTTTTAAAGTTTTACTAATGGGCCATTGGCACCAATATTAGTTTGCAAAAATGCGATGAGCGCATTTTTGGAAAAAGAAACCGAACTATAAATTATTATTATATTTCACATTTTTAAAAGTGACTGTTCGTGTCTGCAAAGAACCGAAAAGTAATGTTGCCAGGTCGCACTTCCAAAAACGCCGCGAGTCTCAGTGTTGGCGCATTAAAATTTAAATTTGGGCATGGACTAACCATAAATTACAAAAGTTTTCTTAAATTTAGAATAACAATTATTACGTATTTATTTTAATGTTTTATGAAATTAAGACAATTTTTAAAGGTGTGCTTCGTTTATTATTAAAAAAAAATAGGGAAAATCCTTAAGTGACGGATGTCAAACCATATATTATTTATCTATGTATGTGACGGCGTAAATACGACGTTACAGTTCTTTATGTGTCCATTTCTTCCTTGGTCGGCCTTGCCTGTTTTCCCAGGAGTTTCAAACTTTCCATCATTCTTAAAACCTTCGTTGACTATCCGACTCTCTGATTTTCCTGAAAAAAGGTAAAAAAATATGTAACGGAATAGAAACAATAACTTATTGACATGAAGCAATTAATTCAAAATTGGTAGAAAACCTGACCGAGTTGAACCATAATAACGTATCGAAAGAAATGGTCGCACTACAATATTACCTATTTACAATGTCAATCTAACCTAAAAATGTGCAATGTAAACGAATGCCTTTTTTGGTCTCAAAATCGTAAATTGAGTAAATTTGTAACTTCAGGCAAATTACAAACAAATAGTTACACGATTACATACCCGTCATAGATGCTGTTCGCCCATAAACATCATCCAAATCCCACAAAATTCGTCCAGCTTGGTAGTCTTCGAAACACCGCTGGAAAACTTAAAAATCACTTCCCGCGTGCCGATCCGATTTACTTTACTCATTTTTATACCTTTCTCCTTTCTGCGTAGTTTAAAAGTTGCTTCTAAAAAGAAGAAGAAGAAGAATTTTTTATTGTTTGGATTAAACTGTAATAAATTAAGACGAAACTACGCAGAAAGGAGAAAGGTATACAAAATAAAAACTGTTCCACAACTGAAACTCGATGACAGCCGTATATAAAAAGTACTCTTTGATGACAGCTGATGTACTTTTTTTTTTTAATTTATTCATGACCATGGCAGCTGATGTACATAAGTTTGGTGTTGCCAGACACATGAATAATGTTAGTTCCTCAAACATTCATGTCACGACTTTATAGACAAACTGTATGTAGGCTTGCGGACTGGACAATATGAAGGGAAAGTACATGGCCATATGCGTTATAATAAAACTAGTTCACGCACGATCGCTACCATTTTGGATCGTTCCGCAACGCTTGCGTTCGAAACAAAAGTCGGAGCTTCCACAAAAATGGAAAATTATGTTGTTTTCCCACGCAATAACCATTTCAATCCTGCTGAAACATGGTGTTTCTTAACATATACAAGTATTTTGAAGTTCTAAAAAATTAGTATTCTGGTATAAAATTCAATTCAAAGAAAAGGCGCGAATTCACGACTGAATGAAAAAAATAATAGGGTTTTTTTTTAATAAGTTTTACGGAAATTCATAGTGATGTGACGAAAAATGAATGAAATAAATGAATGGTATATTTAATACTGGAAACATTCAACCAGATTTAATTAAGTGCATCTGCCGATATAAATAGCATGTTGATAAAACAAATATACATCGACAGATTTTATAAAAAACAGACATTCAATCATTCACGATCTATAACTTAACTAAACAAAGGTGTCGATTCTTGCATGATTCTCTAAGCTTAAAACTAAATCTGATATTAGTGATGTCGATTCTAGCATGATTCTCTAAACCTAAACTTAAATTTGACACCAGTATAATATCCTTGTCACTGATGTCGATTCTGCCATTATTCTCTAAAGCTTAACTTAAATTTGACAACAGAGCATCCCTGTCATTCTCTATACAAGACTGATGTTAAATTTAGTTTTAAGTTTAGAGAATCACGCCAGAATTGGCACCATTATCTCGTTTTCATTCTGTATAGAGGATGACAAGGATACACTGTTGTCAGTGTCGAATATGTGAGCGATATTCGACACCAAAATCTATCTTTCGACGTTGAAATATGATAATATGTATAAAAAGTACTTTATATCGATGCAGGTGAATAGCCACATAAAAATTATAAACAATACTTAAGTGTCGGTACTGGCATTTGATCTCTTAATAAGGTTTGGTTGAAAACTGAATAAGGTTTCCATAATCAGAGAATTTGATCCTATGTAGAGATGGAAAAAACGGCTTCTTTCTTAAAAGCTTTTAAACGTTGTACTTTTTAAAATAAGCGCGCTTGAAAAAAAGCTTTTTCGTTTAAACGCTTATTGGCTTAAACGTTTAAAAGCATGCGTAAAAAGCGCGACGTTGTGTTGTGTTTTCGTTTAGGTATATCGTTTAAAAAAGCGTGAAAAGTTTACTGTCGTTTTTAATGTGTTTAAGTGTTTTATTGCGTTTTTTCTTCTTATTAATGAAATTTTTATTAAAAAGTTTTTTAAACCTAATGAATTGATTGGCATTAAAAACGAAAGATTTTCAATTGAATTTAGATTTTATAATAAACATTTTTATAATAGTCAATGAACTTTCCTTCGAACTTTACAAGCTTAGGACTGTCTGGAGTTAATATACTCGTGATCCAGGCGTACTTAAAAGTTCATTGATTTTATATACATACTTTTAACTATTTTATATGCACATTAAACCAATACACGAAACGCATAAACACAAGCAAGCATGCAAACACACTACAACACCCACGCGCTCTTACCCCGTCACAGTGACAAGCGTACTGCTTTTCGACTTCGTTTAATTAAACGCTTTTAACGAAAAAAGTGCAATTTTTTACGTCGCTTTATAATAATTCGCATGTTGTATTAACCGGCTCACGAAAGATGGCACACCGACGCGGTGCTGTAGTCGCGCGTTCTATGTCTGTGATATTGTGAAATATTTAGTTCCAAGGAATTCCGGGTACCCATTTTTCGATACTGTAGTGGACTAGAAGGATCGAAGTATGTAGTTTCCTGGCAAAGACATAGATGGCGGGATTTGCACTTTTTAAGTAAAAAATATACTTGCACTTTTTTAAGTGAAAAGCTTACTCACACTTTTTAAGTGAAAAGCTTATAACGCTTATACTTAAAAGCGTGCTTAAAAGCTTAATATTTTAAGCGCGCTTATTTAAGCGCTTTTCGTTTAAACGCCCACCGCTAATCCTATGCCTTAGTACAAAAAAAGTGACAGTGACAGTGACAGCTGACTGCTAGATGTTCAAATGATTGTTTTTCGTGATTTTTATGACTAAAATAATAATAATTCATAGTTTAAGCAATACTTACTATCATAATTCGTAACAAAACGTTAGTTGATTTTAATATAAAATATAGTACAACAATGGACTTCATCAAAACTGAAGGAAATGAAAAAACACTTCGTCAGAAATGTTATTTACGTAAACTTCGCCTATCTTTAAAATACCGACCTGATTTATTGAAAAAAATTTTGAAAATGAGACTTTGTATTAGAAAGAAAAATCTTTTGTTAGCCAATATGAAGCAGCAATTAAAAATTATGGTATGTATAATCTCCAAACATAACCTTTTGTCAAGTTGTTTAACCTTAGATAGCTAACCTCCGTCGAGTCGATGGGCAGTGCAAAAAATATCGCTGTATCTTTTAAACGCCGCGACCGAACATATAAATGCCACAGTTTTAGGTAGCTGACCTTGCCCATCGTTTCGACGGGTGGTTAGCTTGAGCCTTGAACCTTGAGCCCTTGAGTCCTGACTATAGGTAAGATTGGTAAAATCACGATACCAAATCGCTAACCCAAGTAAAATTCTCTTTTACTTGGGTTAGCGATTTGGTATCTATATTTACACCAGGAGTGTTCATTCAATGCAACCATCCTTCAGTCAAGATCACCCATCAACTCCTCTTCAAACTGGCTTTGAAGAGAAGTCAACGTCCATGTCAATGTCCCCACTGCTGGGGCAGGGTGGAATAAGGAGATTCAGTCATGACCCACCACGCAGACCTAGTGTGGATTAGTAAGTGCTAACAACTGCAGATCCAGCCAGGAGCAACAGCTTCATGTACCTTCCAAAGCACAGAGGAGCTTGAGATAGTAAATTTTTGGTCATCCATCTTATGACGGACTAATGCAAAAGTTTCTTAACTTGAACTATCGCAGCCGAAAGCGCTAACCACTTGCGCCATTGAGGTATTCATCAACATCTGAAAAAGAAAATGTGTAGGAAGTGCAACTACAATAGAAAGCATATGAGACCATAAGTATGTGTGCCAACTGTATGTAATGTTGCAATGTATAGTGAACAAAAAGTTGATTTTTTGGGTCACTTGCCCTAAAGAAATATTTTTTAAATGTTTTAATTATGTTTCTACGTGCCATATGAAAAGAACTGATAATTTTAATTTTACATGCCAAAATGGTTAATTAAAAAATGTTCCTTTGTCTTGAGCAGTCTAAGAAAATTTATTATAATTTTATTTATAAATAAGTAAGGTCATTTTATATGCATAAGTTGCCATTAGATAAAAAGCAATAGCTCACTACTTAATTTTATTTATGAGACTTTTAGTTTCAAATTTAGAAATTTTAGTTTCAAATTTACACTTCTTAAGAAATAAAAATGTATGTAAATTCTATCAAATCAATATTTTTCAGATGATGAAATATATGGAAAAAGAAGTTGCAGATCAAATTACACAGACTGACTGTGAACACATGTTCTTGAACCAACATGTAAGCACTCAAACAGATAACGACACATCTAATGAAAATGAAGGCCCAAATAATAATGATGATTGCAAACATACCAAAACAAGTGATAGTGTTGATGAAAAAACTAAAGATTTAGGATGGGACATTGGTAAAGATGATACCAAAGCTATAAGTATAGCTGATCAAGTGAAGGAAGTTGCTCAAAGTGCTCTACAACAAACTGGGATGGTGTATGTTGAATCCGCTGGCATGTATTATGATTATAAAACTGGCTATTATTACAATTCCGTGAGTTTTAAATTATATGGTGTATATACCTAAATCAAATTTTTATTTCAATTTATAAGTTATGATGCAATGTAGTAACAGTTTATGATGTTGTCAGCATTATCATGAATATTATCTAAACTAAACTTTCCTGTATATCAATTTATGAAGAATTAAGTATTTATATTCAATTTGCTGATTGTTCTGTGTTGATTTTTCAGGAACTGGGACTGTACTATCACCCTGATACTCAGTGTTACTATTATTATTCTGATGAGAAACAAACTTTTGTGTTTCACTCTTACCCAGACAGGAGTCAAGAAGTTGCAAATGCAGGGTTGATTGCTCATGAGAAAAAGAAAAAAGCTAAAAAACACAAAAAGGTTAATAATATTCACAAGAAGTTCATATTCAATGGAAATTACTTTTTTTATTAATTTTAACAGTAAAATAAATAAATGAATTTAGAATCTACATAACAGAGTATGTTAAAATTGCTAGTACTAACTGTTAATAATTTATTTACATAAATAGTGTCTGTTTTACTTCTAGGATTGGAGAACAGACGACAGCATTGATAACCTGACGAAAAACTTATCTCAGGTTTCACTCCGAGGCCAACTAGCCTTAGGTAAATAAAATGCACAAGTAGCTACCCAATACCAAAATGAATGTTGTATTACAGGAAAAAGCAGACGGACCTGAAGATACTACCAAGTCCAAGAGGAGAAAAATACAAAAAAAGAAATTGGATGACAAATTTATTAGTGATGAACATAAAAATGCTAATGGAATGGAGAATAAAAATGAAACAAATGAAATAGACGTAAATATACCAGATAAAATAGAATCAAAAGAAAATGAGACAGTGGAACAAGTGACAGAAAGAAAACTAAAAGATGCAGTTTTAGCATCAGATAAAACTGTTGTTGAAGATAATGATCTAGAAGATGGTGAATGTAGTGAAACAGAAAGTGAACATTCAGATGTTGAAACAGAAGATACACATGATAGCACATCGACAGCAAGTGATGATGGTAATACTGATATAATATTTACATAAACAGAATGAAGTAAAACTAATGCCTTAATGTGATGACAGGGTCATAAGGCTGAAAATTTGGTATCTAATTAATTTTTATACAGTTTAGGGATGCACTGAATAAGGTTTCAAAGAAATACCAATTTGGTAGTTTATTTGTTGCAAAATGCTAAAGTTTTATTCAATGTCTTCAGTTTAGGTGTTAAGTAAGATAATCGCCAGCGACCCTCATCATGCTCTGTAGATAATGAAAAGGAGAGATTAAATTAATTTTTAAGTTAAGAGAATCAAATCCATTCCCATTATGTAAAAATTCATACCTTTTTAAAACTTAAATTATGTACCAACTAGCATCCTAGTATAAAAAAAGGTGGTGAAGTTAGGTTAATTTAACACTTTCGTAACATTCTGCAGCCGTTAGCATACACCAATCCACACTGGGCACGCATGTTGGGTCACGGCCCAGACTCGCTATTCCACCCTGTGTCCCAGCAGTGAGAACATTAATGGGCTGATGATGATGTATAAATATTTCGTACTAAAGAAATGCAGAAATAGCTCTTTGGAGGTACTCATATCTGTTTTCAACATAGGTATTGGTTGGGTTTAGAGATCAAAATTGATTTTAATTTTGTCATTTTGTGGTAGCCTGATGTGCTGATATCCATGTTTAATATATGTTTAATTTACAAGATCTCTATACATATATATTTTCAGAATAGAGAATATTTAACAAATAATGAACTTTGTAGTTTAGGTCATTATTTGGCATATACAGTCAAACATAGTAAATAACCTGATTGTGCTTAACATTAAATAAAATATCAGTAAATTAAGTATTGTACTCAATGTTGTTTTTATACTCAATTTGTATTAAACATGGTTTTAAAAGGGTTTTTTTTCTGTTTGTTTACCACCGTTTGGCAAACAAGCATATAGCCCGCCTGGTGGGAAGCGGAAACACCGTTAGCTATGGCATTTTTATTAATTTAAAATGTTGTTACAGATGCGGTTGCAAAACATCACCCGCCGTGCATGCGAGTAATTGTGAAGGATACGACCTTGCCTAAACTGAAAGTGGGCTCCTTGTTCTTGGTCACTAAAGACGGGGGTTCAATAGGCCGCGAGGGGGAACATCACTGTATCGTTCTCAGGGATGAAAATGTCTCTCGAGTGAGTTCATGGTACCTTTCATGGATGTTAGAGAGAAGGTGAACGATCGCTGTAGAAAATAGTGTCCCAGAAATATGGACAAAATAAGTGAGGCGCTGCGATCGCAAAGTTGTCTCAATAAAAGCGGGCTAATTTGAAATGACCAATGCTGCGAAGAAAATTTGTACATTATTCAACTACCTTCATCTACATGTACTCACAAACAGCTAACTTCACAGATACTACATACATTTTCACATAAACCGTGTGTTGTTTCTTTATTTACGTTGCTCTTTCATTCCTCGTCATATTACGCAGTATTGCAGATCTGAAATAAAGGCAAAAGTACATTATAAAATTAGTCTATATTTGTGTCGATTCTGGCATGATTCTCTAAACCTAAACTTAAATTTGACAACAGTGTATCCTTGTCATTCTCTATACAGAATGAAAAGAAGAGACTGATTTTACATTTACTTTTAAGTTTAGAGATTCACACCAGAATCGACACCATTATTACATAAGCATCTTTTTACAATAATATTTTTTTACTACTGTAGATTTCCGCACGAGACACAAGTGTATGTGTTCCGAATATGTTTTATTGCAGAATCATCTCAACATAACGTATGATATGATGAAAAGAAGTTACGTAGCCATGGATCTGGGATCCAAGAATGGGACGATCCTTAATGGTACTCGAATGTCGGAGAGTCAAACTGTTAGCAAATCAACAGAAGTAAGTACATATGTCAGAAAAGTTGAAGCATCCGATTTTTTTTGTACAACTATATTGACTCGAAAATTTCGGATTGCTAGATACTTATAATATACTTGCCCCCCTAGTATGAGCAGCGCGACATATTATGTATCACGATTTATAACGTCAGACTCAATAGTACATTGACAATTAAGCGTGAAAATAACGTGATATACACACGACTGCAAATAAACTAGGCCAACTACTAGTACCTTGGAACTCTAATTCTATTTTTTCAAAAAGTATAAAACTTACAACTATTAAAGCTATATCTACAGAAAGTGTGTTTCATAAGTATTAATAGGAGTAAAATTTATTCTAAAGTACTATCAACTTATTTTGTGATCGAGCAAGAACAGCAATGCTAACAATTTACAATTTTTTTAATAAAGTCGCGATTATCGTTATTTTTTATATAATGAAGATAGTCTGATACTTCTTATCATTTCTTTAGTTTTTCTCCATAGTTTTCTCAAACGTGAATATTTTTGCTTCGTTCATAACTTCCGAATACCACAATTGGAAAACGATTCTTCCTTGGCTTTTTTTAAATAAAAATTTAATTAATTGATTAATCGCAATAAATTCTTGTTCATTTCAATCACCACGAAACGCACTTTCTGTAGTTAGAATTTTTACAGTTGTAAGTTTTATACGTTTTGAGAAAATCAGATCAGAGTTCCGTGGTAGCAAGTGGCCCAGTTTACTTGCAGTCGAGTGTATATCATATCACGGTACTTATGCTGCAGATCCTCCCCCCTAGCATGAGCATCGCAATATGATATATAACGCTTTTAATTACGCTCAATTGTCAAATACTATGCAGTTTGACAGTTAGACGCGATAAATAACGATATATAATGTAAATTGAGGTGCTCATGCTACAGGGACTGGGGCCCAATTCTCGCGGCATAGATATAATATCACCTTCGATATATATCGAATGATCTGGCTTTTATCGAAGGAAAACTTTTTTGCCCTATTCTCACCATGTCGCAATAGATATTTATCTACGGATGATCAGTAGACATACATCGACTGGTAAAGAGCTTTCGATATATAAATATCTATGGATCTTGGCATGTCAATCTTGTTATTTCCACTTTTTTTACCTATTATTTATTGTGTTGTCGTGTGTCTTTGCCAATTATTGTTACCTCAAGATGTTGTTAACTGCCTTCATAAATAATTAGTAAATAAAGAAGTAGGTAAACAATGGTGTCGATTCTGGCGTGATTCTCTAAACTTAAAACTAAATTTAAAATCAGTCTCTCTTTTTCATTCTGTATAGAGAATGACAAGGAAACACTGTTGTCAAGTTTATGTTTAGATTTAGAGAATCGACACCAGTTTATATTAACGATGGATGAGTTGATTCATGTTTTCATCAATGCTTTAATAAATGACGTGATTGCTGCTGCTGTGCTAAGGCGCCGCCGTTGTGAGAGCAAGAGGACCCATTTGAAATGAGGGACGCCGACTTCATAAAAAATTACGTTTAAACAAAAATTTGGTTAGAAATCTTTAAAGTTATGAATGACATTGGTATCGATTCTGACACGATTCTCTAAACTTAAAACTAAATTTAACATCAGTCTCTCCTTTTCATTCTGTATGGAGAATGACAAGAATACACTGTTGTCAAATTTACGTTTAGGTTTACAGAATCATGCCAGAATCGACACCATTTTCTTATTGACGATACGGAGTTTTGGCGGGATTTCTGCGAGTGCGGTTGGCATCTTATTTTAATTATTCTAAAATTCGTTCATAGTGGATATTGTGAAATAAAATTGGTGTGATTTGGTGTTACAACCGTCTGCGCAACTGAAGAATTAGTGGAATCTTTAAAATATACGCTATTCCGGTCAAGTGGACGCGAGAAGTTTATTGTAGTGTTGACTACCTCACAGAAGCTTAGAGAAAAAGCCAACTCCATAAATTTCGTGCCAAACACTCCAAGAAACATTAGAATGCGTCACACCGACATTCGAATGTAAAAAAAAGAAGATTAATATAACTAAAGACTAGGCTTTATAGGAATTGTTCCCTTTGCCTTCCCTGAAAAGGGAGAATTAAATAATATTGACGTTTCATTATACTTAACGTAGATATTATATACGCATACAATTTAGGTAAAGTTGAGATTTCTTATACTCAAAAAATGTATACTCATATTTAATATGAATGGAATTCATAAAATATCATTTTGTTGCTTGTAAAATTCTGCTCTAATTTATTATTATTTTATATAGACTATGATGTTAACTTAATCGAGAAAAACGGAACGCATTCGGCAGTGAAAGAATATCTACGATAGATATAATATCATTGGAATATCGAAAATCCACGAGAATAGCATTTTTTACCATCAGTAGATATTTTCAATAGATATCCCTACTTTCGATATTATCTCGACGACGATATAATATCTACGCCGCGAGAATTGGGCCCGGTCTGAAATAGCATACCACACTCGAATAATTGATTACAGGCTTAAGTTCCGTTTATATAATTAAATTTAGTATACCTGGGTCTAGTGGAACATTTCCTGACGAATTTCCTTAGTACGTCACATTTCGTGTAGAAATCAAGTAATACAAAGTCGTTATAGTATTCAAATTATCTAACTAACAAGCTGTCTCAATATTTTGTCCACAGTAAGAGAGATGTCCATAAGAAACTTATTTTTTTTTATGATCGTTATTGTTTCGGGTTACATACCACTAATATTGGTTAATTTTTTATGATCTCTCTTTCAGATTATACACGGAAGTACTTTAGAAATAGGCGAGACGAAGTTGCTTTGTCATATCCACCCGGGGACGGATACGTGCGGCCATTGCGAACCAGGGCTGCTTATGGAGAGTAAGTTTTTTTTTTATACATTTTCATTTCTAGTCGAAATAACCATTATTGTCATGGAAGCAAAGAGAGGGAAGGGAAACTCACCGGCAGTTTGGCGCGACGCGCCGGGTTAAATTATGGTAGTTAAAGAAAATTTCGTAGCGCGTCGTCAGTTAAAACTCTGAAGTGATGATTCAACATTCACGATAATTTTTTGGATGGACGTCAGTGAACTGACAGTCAATGCTCAACTTTATTCACATAAACTTTCGCCTTCCAATATAAATAAAAAAAATAAACGTGGACATGAAGACGGTACTAAGTAAATCTTTATTAATTGTGCGTATTTTTAACCCGTGTATATTAATTAGTGATGTAACGAATGTCATTTTTTGAACATTCGCGAATGCGAATGCGAATATTTAGTTTTTTTTAAATTGGTACCAATTGTCTATGGCATGGTGGCAGTCTCGTTCGAATTGCCGAGTTGATATGAACTCATCTGACTGAAGTGTCATTCCGCTCGCACCGATCTTTCCGTAAACAAAACAAGTGAATTTTGAGGTTATTGATTGTGTGTGATAATAGTGATTTATTAACATGAGTAAATCGAATTCTAGTGACACATGAACTTATTTCACACTTTGCGATGCTGAACGAGCTAAATGCAAACTGTGTAACAATGAATATTCAAGGAAAGGCAGAACTACAACTTCTTCAAATTGTTTTTTTCTAATATTCATATTCGCAAACATTCGCAGAGATTTTGCGAATGTGAATGTGAATATTCAAAAATATGCGAATATTCGCGAATGCGAATGCGAATATTCGTTACATCACTAATATTAATATATTTTTATTTAGTCTCCGAAGAGAAGAAAGCAGCGTACACCAGGACTTGCAGTGTACAGAAGCAGCATCAGTTAGAACTCGCTCGATTGAAGAATAAATACGCACCTAAACCCCTGGCCATAGAGGCTACGGCATACAACGACAGAGCGCAGGCACGCAGAGAAAAAGTCGGCAGTTCACACCACTCTCAGAAGACGCAGAGCAGCGACTTGGACACGTAAGATACATTACTTTACTCAGTTATGGTAAGGACAATGGGCAAAAATGTATGGACGCTGCACCCACGTCCGCCACGGCTTAAACTACATTTGTTTGAAAGGTATTATAGTCAAGATCATCTCTGCCAAAGCGCATCAAATTCCATCCCGGGGGTCTTTAGTTATTTTAAGTTAAATATGTAGAAGTACTATAACGAACGAACATTAATGAAACAAGGGAATTAATTTAGTTAGTTAGTTCGACCCTACATAGGGGGCTCAGGAATTATGGCAGTACTTCATATGGTGCAAGGGTGCCCCCTTATGTTATTCTGCCGCGCTAGAGTTAATCCAAAAATCCCCGCATGGGTTGGGTTTTTTTAAACATTCTGTTCGTTACAGTAAATTGTCTTCTATGTAAAACGGAGCCACCCCAGATTACACAAACTTGACCACGCTTCGGAGAACACATAATTCCAGTTTATCCATACTAATTGACAAAATCGATAATCGTGTTTCAATATCCAAAGCGTGTTAGATAAATATCAATCAAGTAGCAGGGAGCGCACAATCACAACGAAGTAAGACGAGTCGACTATTTGCAACTGCAAGTCCTTCAGCATTCGTAAACCGTTTTGAAATGTTCAGTAAGAGCAAGAGCAGGATGGTCGGCAGGCTTTGTCGTATATCTGGTTGTATAGTACGACATGGCATATTATTATGATTACTAATAATATAAAATGAAGGTGTTATAAAATGAATTTATTTAGCTACTTAAATATGCCCATGTGTCATATCTGTTGACTACCAGGATATTTTTTACGGTGTCATATCTTTTGATTCCCAGGATATTTATTTTCGGTGTCATAATAAAAAAGGCTAGTTTTCCATAGATCTATCGATTCATACTAATTACATTGTTGGCGGAGCTGGGTGCGTTTTGCCCATTAATATGTACCTTAACCCCTGGCCATAGAGGCTATGGAATACAACGACAGAGCGCAAGGCGAAGGGAGAAGAGAAAGTCGGCAGTTCACACCACTCGGAGAAGATGTAGATTAGTGACTTGGACACGTAAGATACATTAACTTAGAGACGTTAATTCAATACGCACCTAAACGCCTGGCCATAGAGGCTACGGGATACAACGACAAGGGCTTACCGCTTATCGGATTTGCTATGGCTGTGGCTATAGCTTATGATTTCATTTTGTTATTTCTGACCGCCGCAAGTTTTGAAATGCCTCGTGCTCTCTTTTTTTTCTTTTACAATAATTTTGAATAAAAAGAGAGTGAGGTATTTGAAAACCTTCGGCAGTCAGAAAAACCAAAATGAAATCATATGGTATTGCTATAGCCAAAGCAATATCGATAGGCCCCTAGGGTGCAGGCGCGGCGCGATAAGTAATTTTTTTTTCATCACTCTGAGAATACGTCAGAGCTGTGACTTGGACTCGTTAGATCATTACTTTACTCAGAGATGTCAATGAAATACGCACCTTATGACCTGGCTATAGAGGCTACAGAATACAACGATAGAGCGCAGGCGGTAAGATAGAAGGTCAGCAGTTTACACCACTCTGATAAGACTCGGAGCAGTGACTTGGTTAAGTAAGATTCATTAGTTTACTCAGTTAGGTTAGGTAAAGACCCCTGATAATGGACTCAAGAAGGGCAAGAAGAAGGCGCCAGGCCCAGATGGATTGCTCGTGGAGTCCTCTCTATCGCCTTGAAGCACCTGGGTGAGCACTACAAAGCGCTGCTAGGAAAGTGCCTGAGCACAGGAGTATTCCCCAGCGTGTGGAAGAAAGGTAGACTCTGCCTGTTGAAGAAGAAGGGACGATATGCAGGCCACCCTCTGCGTGCCGTCTGATTGTGCTGCTGGTCGTGGTTGGCAAGTTCTTTGAAAGAATTATCTCTGATCGCGGCAAGACATATGAGGACGTCCGCCGTCTCGGCCTGTGTCTCATTGGTAACGTGGCGGATCCGAAAGCTCGGCATAAAGCTTTATATGTTTTATATTTCTGGTCCCAAGGCTGGTTAATGCGGCGGCGGCGCTCAGCAAGCTGCTGCCGAACGTGGGTGGCCCAAACGCCAGCTGTCGCAAGCTGTATACTGGTGGCACCAGAATATAGCCTCATACGGGGCACCAACCTGGGCTGATATTATCAGCACGACGAGTAAGGCAATGCTGCAGAGGCAGCATAGAAAAGTGGCCCAAATGGTTGCGCCAACCTATTGCACAATATCATTGGCGGCCTCCTGCGCAATAACGGGATCCCCGCCGTGGATGCTAGAGGCAAAGGCCTTGACGCCTTTCTATTGGGACAGGGTAGAAACCCGAAAAATAGGGGAACAAGTCGCTCCAGAAGTGATCCTCGCCCACAGATGGCGTGTGGAGGATTTCGTCCTGGAGGAGTGGGACTGGGAGCTGGAGTCGCAAGAGTACGGGACCAGAACCATAGAGGCCCTGGTGCAGTCGTCGTCGGTCGTGCCAGCATTGCAGCGCTTTCGGGGATACGGCGCAGCACAACCTTGAGGAGTGCCTGTCGTGGTCCCGGGAGTGCCATGATATGGTTATGGCGATAGGGTGGGATCTCACGCTGCGCAGCGTTGTGAAAGCGATGCTGGACCGCGGTTGCTTCCTTCTGTGTAAAAATTATCCTCGAGAAGGAGGCAGCGGCGAAGGCACGCGAGGGGTAGGGGGCGTCAGGGTGGTCCGGGGGGTTAGGGTGGTCATTAACACTTATTTGTGCGTGCAGCCGGTGTTCATTTGCCGGTGTGATTTCTAAGACGTTATCACGTCAAAAATTCTTAACATAAAAACAATAATAAGTAAACAACAATTGCCTCTTAAAATTCGGACTACATAGCACAAAACTTGTTGCACTTTGAATGAAGCTTGAAATGTATGACTATTCGGTGTTTTTAGGTTGATAAAGATGATAATTCAAACATGCAGTTTCCTTTTTGAAGCAACACAATTTATTGATATTAATCAATATTTACTGTGCTGGGCCTGTACTGATAGCAGACCTTATGTCGCTTGTTAAAGCCTCATTGACATGAAGCGACGACAACCTACAGCTACTCGCCCCGTGTCATCGAGTAGAGATTGTCAAACAGCCGATGACACGGGGCGAGTTTACAAGCTGGTAGCGAACTCGCTGGCTTGTAGCTTGTAAGCTCGCCCTGTGTCTTCGAGGAGTACGACCTAGACATGGTTTTTTATCCGGGCCTGTGCCGGCTAAGCTTATTCACCAGCACGGTTTGTACTTTTGTACCGACTACAAACCGTCGCTAGCGCCGGTGTCGTTAACAAACCTCCATAGTGTCCCATACTGAACTGATGCCTGAACGTTAACACATCTTATGTACGCAATATAAAACCGTGCTTAGACCCGGGTAGAAATCGTCTCATTAACAAGCCCCATAAGGGTAGAGGGTGTAAGTCAATAAAAAGTTACATAAGTGTCTTAGTTTGTTTGGCCACCAAGCTGCACCTGGATCGACCTACTTTGTGGAAGTTAATCAACTTTTAGAGTAGACTTCTTAGACTTCTCGAGTTCTTCCATGCTTCGGAACGCACGTTAAGTCATTGGTCTCTGTTGCATTTGCTGCTATTAGCATCCACCAATCCGCACTGGGCCTGCGTGTTGTATCGTGGCCCGATCTCTCTATTCCATCCATAGGGAAGACCTGTGCCCATAATAAGATAATATACATAGATAATATATAGAATATAGATAAGAAGTACACACTAACCTTTTAAATACTAAGAGGTTCCAGATTGAAATAAGCTGTGCTCTTGTACAGAAGCCCAAGCACAAATTTTGACAGTTTCGTAATCGTATACGAAACTGTCATCATGTCATGTTTCGTATCGTCAAATTGTCTATGATAAACAAGGAGAGCTCCTACCGGACGTAAGAACAAACTGCCTCCTTCCATACAAAATTTGATGATGACGATACAATTAAGGAGCTGTCGAAATTCTTACTTAGGCCTCTGGTTTCAGATATATTTTAACATTGTCAACAATCTGACTGTGTACAACATGTTTTAAAAAATAAAATAATTTGGCACCAGTAAGTTACGTGACTGCCAAAAACAGGTCTACTTCGAAAATGTTGAAAAAACTTCAAACATATACATTGCTTAAAAACATGATATCTTAGATTTTGCCATTATTTTGTACTAACAGATTCATAGCTCCAGAGAACAAAGGCTTCAAGTTGTTAGAGAAGATGGGCTGGTCCAAGGGCGAAGGTCTTGGGAAGGACAATCAAGGGGATACTGAACCGGTGAGTTTCTAAAATTCAAGTATATACACGAATATTATTTCATAACAGTTACAAACTTCTCTAAAGAAAAGAGGTGAGAGTCGTATGTAAGAGATTAGTCAGCTTCGCAGAAATAAAAAAAAAATAGTAAATTTTTAAATATCTTATTTCGATTGTCCGACAAATTTTCGTAATGATCGATTTAATAAGACAAGTCAAGATTTTTATGGTAATCATAGGTATTCTTATTTGCATTACTTCTGTTAAATATTCAAAGGCGCTGTGTAGCATGTAACGTCATCTGGAGATGGGCTTGTAGAGATGATGACAAACTTTTTTTTTCGTCTATCAGGTAGATTATCATGAAGTAACACGGATACGTATTTTTTCTTTATTTACATAATCACAATATTAAATATATATTTTGATATAAAATGTCGCATGACGTCATATCTTGGTACAATTTTTACTTAAAAGTGACGTCACGCCTAAATTTTGACGCGCTTTATCTTCGTAATTTTTGTCCATTATTTTTTTGGTAATTTAACTGATTTAATAGAATTTCTTTTACTTTACTCCGTCATGAGCCATATTAATTATGATTGTTATCCAACAAGGCTGATGATGATCCAACATCATATTTTTTTTTATTCTGTTCTGATACTAAAAATGACCCGGATTTACGAGTTCTAATAGCTGCAGATGCAGACGGACCAACGGTGTGACGTAATTTCCGAATTGAAGCAAGGCGAAGCTCGAGGAACCGAAATTATGGTCACCCATCCCATGAATCACATTGCAATATTTGTTAATTTCCACAACCGAATCAAGTTTAATAAAATAAAAAGAAATTTTATGACTAAACAGAGAAAATCATTTTAAATCTAAGTAGGTACCTACTGTACTTTACTAACAACATTCAGGATACATATATTTTTATTACGATGGCGTGGGCGAAAAGTTTCATTTTGATGGCAGGTTTTGTTCTCCATTACCGAGACCCTAAAAAGAGTTTAAAACTTTTTAAAGCAATAACAGGCTGTCTGTAGGTCAGGCGGGCGCGGCCCTACCTGCCATTTAAAACAATTTACCCGCTGTTATTTTTTTTATTTTACTGGCTTTTTTATGATTACGTTTCGTTTCACATTAGAGCAGACGCGTGATGACCTGCCATTAGGCTCTGCTCAACCGGTGACGTTTAGGATACAGACTGTATGTTTTTTTTTGCTGTTTTGCAAATCGTTAAGCTTTGTAATTACATGTACAAATTCATACTGAGAACATCAGTTTTACCTAAATTTTAGCTAAGCTATATTTAAGCCATCATAAACTTTAGTGGTTTAGAGCAAAAGTAACATGAGTCTGGTGTGCAATGACACTTGATACATAACACCGACGAATAAGTTTGATAAATATTCCTTATTATTTAACTTGACCAATTACTGAATGAATGAACATAGACACTCAAAGTACCTTTTAAAATACTAGAAAGCGAAACCTCACATATTTCTTAACTGTTCTGATCTGAACCTCGATATATATAACGATATCATAAAAAAAAATTTGGCGACTCGGTCGTATTCGTATTGCCGTTGAAGTTGTTATTGCCTGCGTAATAGACTTTAATAAAAGTACAATTCAAATCATCTGAATGAATAATTAATTAAGACACCATTGTGCTGCATTCGTATTATAGTGTTTGATCGCGGGTCCCTAGTTTGTACGACTAAAATTACCGTGTTTCGTGTATTCGCATTTAGGCTAAGTTCAGATGGTCGCGCAACAACGCGCGTACATGCTAACGTGCGTAAAGAGTTTCTAAATAATTACATAGGTCTGTTCAGTGCCCTTAGCACGAACCAATATCGAATTCGTAACGTTTGCGAGTCTGAAATGTCATTGTAGGTCCGTTCAGTACCCTTAGCACGAACCAATATCGAATTCGAATCGAAATCGAGTCCGAAATGTCATTGTCAAATGTGTACTGATTTTTAGTTCTCGTTACGTACTTTGTGCCGCTGCTGTTCAAGTTTCCATACAAAGGACGTTGCTCGTTCCCCATACATTGAATGCCCTAGAACGCATAGCAATGAGAAAATGCTAGTTGTGTTCGGAATCATTCATAAACTCTAATTAGGCATTTGTTGAGATACGGACAACTTGAGGAACCGTGGCCTACTACAGAATGTATTACATTTTGAGGTTATAATTACTATACTTAATCGTAAAAGATGTACACTTTTTATATTCTGAATAGATTTAGTGTTTACCTCTATGTAAGCACTTAAATAATATGCATTAAATGAACATAAAATGCAATTAATAATAAAAATAATAATAATGCTTATATTCATATTGATTTATGAGTGTTGGCAGTTGGCACCTATGATACCAATACTGATGTTGTTGTAATAATAGATTTCTTTTCAATTGAAATGTTCAAAGTCTTTCCATTTACCTGTTTCTATATTTTACTATCGGTAATTAGGTATGTACGTGGTTATCATTACGATTTTCATAAAAATAAACAGATATTACATGGGATGGGAGTATAAACTATCTTTTCAGAAATAATCTTTTTTAAAATATAATATAAATACTTGTACTAAGTATTATTAACTAAAGATTAACTAAGGTACCTAGTTCTGTTTTTATGTTGATGAATACCTTTAGTCGCCTATATTGCATTTATTAAGGTAAACAATCTTGGCACAACCTTTTAACAAAATCACCCATTTAAAAATAAAATATTAACGAAGTCAATAAACTATTAAAATAAATCGTATATATAAGACTGAAACCTATTGAATCCAGTTATCAGTTGATTTTTAATGCTGTATTTTCAATAAAAAGGAGTGCCAAGATTGTTTTCTTTTTTTTTTATAGATAGGTCCGACAAATGACTCCACCCCACCTTATGTTAAGTGAAGGTGAAGTCCAGACGCGAAGATAGCTGATACAGCAGTTCTACCTGCCACACCAACCCTCCTCACCCTGCCGGCCTGCATGTTGCTTCTTCACGCCTCTTTTTAAAGGATCCCAGGTTGTAAGAGGGAGGGAACACGTGAGCGGACAGAGCATTCCATTTACGGATAGTGCGACAAAGAAATGAGTCACCAATTTTTTTTGTACGACTTGGAATTGTGGCCACAGTAAGACGGTGACAACGTAGGCCAGCGCGCGTGGTCCTCTGAAGGAAAGGGGAAGGTGGGATAAGAGAGAATAACTCCTCAGAACACTCGCCGTGTTACAGACGATAGAACGCGCTTAGTGACGCCACGTCACGGCGTAATTGAAGAGGCTCAAGGTGTTTAGTCACCTCCTCATCGCCTATGATGCGGATCGCGCGCCGCTGTAACTTATCCAAAGCATCGAGCAAGTACTTGGCGGAGCCATCCCAGAGGTGCGAGCAATATTCCACGCAGGACCGCACTTGCGTTTTGTACAACAAGCACAGTTGATCGGGCGTGAAAAAACGCCGCACCTTGTTCAGTTTAGGTGAAGCTGTTTTGATCATGGTTTCGATGTAGTCCTTTGGATTCAGGTCTGAGCGAACTTCCATACCGAGCATGGAAATGTTGCTCTGTAGCGGTAGTGTTGTGCCCTGAAGAGAGGGAAGGGGAAGGAATGGCGATGTTTTTGCCGTGAAAGCGCAAGCCTGAGTTTTCTTGGCATTGAACTCAACCAAGTTCCTGGTACCCCATTTTGTTTACCAAATAGGACAAGTTGGATGAACAGACTGTAGTATCTAGTAACAGAACTTTTATTTTTTAAACAGCTTGTCCGTTTACTATGATTAATTGCTAATAACTTAAAAAAGTTATAGAAAAATAATAGTGAAGGACATTCTTTTGGGCATGCTAGGGCCGATTCCGTCGATGTCTACAAGCTACGAGCTCTCGGAATCCATGGCGATTTGCTTCGATGGACAAAATCCTACCGATCGCAGGCAGTAGTAATGGGTGGATATCGTTCTGACTTCATTCAAGTACCCAACGGCGTTCCCCAGAGATCTCACCTGGGTCCCCTCTTTTACAACGCCTACTTGTATGATATTGGGTCCTGTTTAAGTAACTCCCATTATTTGATGTATGCAGATGACACAAAAATATACTGTAAAATTAAGAGTAATGGTGATTGTCTTTCAACACAAAGGGATCTCAATAACTTAATGGAATATTACATCAATAATAAAATAACGGTCAACACTAGCAAATGCGAATGTATAACATTTACGCGTAAAGTCAAACCTTTAATTTACAATTATAATTTCAATGATGAGCTGATAAACAGAACTCAAATTGTCAGAGACCTTGGAGTACTGTTAGATCAAAAAATAATTTTGTCTGATCAAATTGACCACATATCAAACCTTTAAAAATTTGGGATTCGTGATGCGTGTGTACAAACCCTTTAAAAATGTATCAACCATTAAGTCAATATATTTTGCATATGTCAGAAGCGTCTTGGATTGTGCTTGCTCTATCTGGTCTCCTCAATACATTATTTATAAAAGTCATATCGAGAAAATACAAAAAATCTTTGTTAACCATCTCAATTATCGCTCTCGTAGCAATTTTTAAACTTACGAAGACGCATGTAGGGAACACGGATTGCTGCCGCTTGAGCAGAGACGTGTATTAATGGATATGTGTTTGCTGTATGATATTGTGCACAGTAAAATAGATTGTACTGCATTAGTGTCAAAAATCAAGTACCGTACACCAAAGTACCGCATTCGCAACACACCTCTTTTGCATGTTCCACTGCACCACAGCAATTATTCATCGAACTCTGTACTCACACGAATTGTCAGGACATACAATACATATTTTCACAATATTGATATTTTCGCAAACACAAACACTAAATTCAAACATGAAATAAAAAATAGACTACAGGAAAAAGAATCAAAAGGGTAAATACTTAAATTTATTTATATTTAAAAGTATCGTATATATATATACAAGATATTAGATGAAAAAACGGAACAGAAAAAAGTATTCATTATACCTTATTAGTCTTACACTAGCAAACCAGTGAACCAAATGTTCACCAAAACATGATTTTAAAAAAAAATGTATTTAATTAATTGAGAACTTCGGAGATTTTGTGTGGTTTCGTTTGAAATTCGTGAGTGCTACGTTACTCAAATCCGGTTTGTAGTCTTATGAGACTATTCTTAACTTATAGCTTAAATATTCTCTTTATCTATCTCTTACGGTTTGACCGCTGAAACAGCACCACAGACAGACGGACGGACGGACTTGTCTAATAGATAAGAGATACTTAGTATAATTACGTATATGTGTAAATATTACATTTTATTTATGATATTTATACCTACTACTTTTATAAGATTACATCACGATTATATGCGGATGGATTGTTTGATGATCGCTAGTTAAGGATACAAGAACCAATAATAAGTCACCTATTGTTAATCTAGTTAAGGAAAACCTGTCATTGGCCATACTTTTAGGAATGTACCTACTGTAAATTTTGTATCGGAAAAACGCTGTTAGTTTTCATAGAAAAAAAAAATGTCCTTTGACATTTCGATTTGCAAACTATTCGAATTCGATAATGGTTCGTGCTGGGGGTACAGAAGATCGCGCGTAATCGCGAGTTCACGTGCGATCGTCACTGCTTCATCGCAATTATCTTGATACGCACGTACCTACACGTGCGCTTACTCGCGTTTTGAGTTCTTATAGTCAAGTATCGACCCGTTTATGGTTTCCAATACCCCTAGCACGAACCAATATCGAATTCTTATCGTTTGCAAGTCCGAAATGTCAAAGTCAAATGTGTACTAATTTTTAGTTCTCGTTACGTACTTTTGCCGCTGCTGTTCAAGTTTTCATACAAAATTTGAAATTGACATTTCGGTTTGCAAATTATTCGAATTCGATAATGGCTCGTGCTAGCGGTACAGGTCGCCAAGCCTAATAGCCGGAGAAAGCAGCCAGTTCGGCCGGACATTTGAGTAAAAAGGCCCTACATTATTGAGGATTTTTGTGGCTATTAGGTGGTGGAATATTAGGTACGACAAACAATTCTATGTAAAAGCGAACGACAGTCAACTCGCTTCCGCTCGGCCACGCTCGGCGCTCGCTCGTTTGTGAAATGTAAAAAGCCATACAAAAGCCGGACAAGATTAACACTGTTTATTTTGGCCGGACACGGAATCAAAAAGCCTACCTATGTCTGGCTTTTTCCGGACCCTGGCAACTCTACCGTACCCTTAGCACGAACCAATATCGAATTCGAATAGTTTGCGACTCCGAAATGTCATTGTACTTAGCCTTAGACACCACTTACTAGTTAGACCTTTAAGACGTTACTACTTATGTCTTTAATAACTACATAGATATCTAAAGCATATGTATAAGCAAAAGTTAATATATGGAAATAAGTAAAGGGTTCTCTTTATTTTTATTTCGGCAAATCGACTGCAGTGTATCTATATATACCCAAATCTCGTGAACTATCAATCACTTCCTAATCCACGTATCAACAACGATGAACACTCATCAATTCAACGTTATAAATGTGTTTTTAACACAAACAGTCAGCTCCGAACTCGTCTTGTATTAGTCACCAAAAATAGGGTTGCCCTTTTCTTATAATGCTTAACTGCAAAATTCCATTTAGTTACGGAAAGATGAAAGCATTCTTAACTTTAACTGGTTTGAAAAAAAATTATATAATGGCAGAGCCTCACTTGCCGCCGAACTGTTTGGCCAACGGATGTTTGTTGTATACGTAATTTTAGAATCAATATTTATATGAAGAAAAATTGTAATAAATGAACCAGGATACATCAGAGAATTTTGAAATTGATGGTATTTTTAATTGAACTGTCAA